TCTCCCGTCATCATGGATGTAGCGCTGGGGTTCCATTTTGCAGCGACGCACACACTCAACTCGTCCTTGAGCAAGACGTCCATATCAAATCGATTAGGTCCTAGTGCGAGTGGTGCGTACGCGTCGCCACAACATGGAGCTTCTTCACTACACCTCGTCATCATACATGACGTACAACGAACCGTGCTGATGAGCACGAACACCACCAATACGAATTTCACTCACAACAAAACAATTTGCATTTGTTATATATGACAACATATAGTAGCGTTCGGTTCACCCGGTTATGTACAATACACGTGAAAAAAGAAAAATTACAAGGAAAAAAAAACAAAACTAACCTTCAACGCCGATTTCAGGATAGTAATGGTACCCGGAGGTTGTATGTGAGGCTCACCGTCTACCTGTACAGGCCATTCTTCGTGCGTGGTTATGCGAATCTGTAAAAAAACTTTTATTCAACTATTATCTAATAGTAAGGTGAAAAGTAATGAAGAAGTAATACAGTAATCCGTACACTTCCTCCTTGAGCAATACGGGTACCGGCGGCTAGTTTCGACTGTATGAGACCCAGACGTGATACGTCAGAAATGCCAACCACCTGAATGGAGGAGATATTAATTAAGCCCTTAATTAATTTTATATTAAAAAGTAAGCAGCGTACCTCCAGAAGACCGTCGTAATGCGTAGGTTTTTGGAATGGACTTTCTTCTTTGGCTGTACCCCACGGATTAGCACCACTTCCCCAACTCAGCAAATTCAAAACAACTATACCCTCAATATTCGGCAATTCAATAGGGCGTCCGTCGACCTGAAAGGAGATTTGTGAGTGCAGTGCAATTTCCTGGGCGGCGTCCATGCGACCGTTCACGAATGATGGCGCCCTTGCCGCATGGCTCGCTGCGCTCTCATTGGCTGGAGGCCGACTGGGTTCATTCTCCAGCTTGTTTTGTGTGCAGCGTAACCACAACACTGAGAGTACAAGAAAAGGTTACCTCGACTTCTATGCGTTTCCATAAATCTTTGCAAGACCTTTCGAAGAACATCTTTCGTAAGCCGATTTTCGCGTACTGAGTCTTGTTGAATAACCGAGATTGGAACTTTTCCGGGTTAGCGTCGCGCTAAATTGAAAAATTAAGCCTTTGGAAAAAATGAACAAAATCACTACTGGTGATTGGAAGCGTGACAATACAAGAATGGTAACGATTGCAAGAAGTGAAAGAGGTGATGATTAAGCCTAGAAAAAGATGGAAAACGGCAGTCCTACGAATACGTTCACCTCGGAAACTTTGCTTGTTTTGTCCTTCGGGCAGTAACACAGCATTGCTTATACAATTTTATCACAGCTTGGTCGCTGCGAACGCTGAGGTACTTCAGAAGGGAGGGGGCGGGTTTGAGGCGGAGACAGCCAGCTTCCCAGGAACTGTAGCTGCCCGGCAGCTTCCACAGTTGGTGGAGGATGGGTTGGCGGCACGCCTTACCCACCCGCTGACACGCAACAGCGTCTCCAGCGGCGACGACTGTATGTTACAGTGGTTGATAAACTTGGTTGACAGTTACTGGTTATTAGATGGAGGCACCACTTATAGAGTAGGCGGGGTTTCTTTGGAAAACAACAGAAAAGTTATTCATAATTAAAAAAAACGATGTACAAGCTAAAGCGAGCGAGTTCGGTAAAAGTAACAAGTGATTTACCTTGTTGTGGAACTTCAAGCACACATCAGCGTCGATACCAATACCGAAATAGTTGTTCATAATGATCATGCTTGTCTGATCCTCAGGATTACTCATGGTTTGATCAGTCTCAGAAGGATTTGCAGCAGAGGCCTGAAAAAATGTTATTATGCACACTTGGCAAGCAATCGTCACATTACCCAGCCGTTATTCTTTCTCATTCCACTTCTTTGGTTGATTGCTATTTGCATGGGAGGGACTTATGAAGTGGGCGGGCCCTAGTCAATGTCATTGTAACTGGTTTGTAGACTACTATCCCAGTTATGACTCTGTTTCCAGTTTTGACCGCACCACTGTCTAATACAATAGTTGCAAGTAAATCAAGATATCCACGTCAGCCATGAGATCCGAACAGGGCTGAAGTTGGCCCTCTTCTATAATTACAGCATGTCGGTCAGGAATCCCACATCGCGACGCGCGTAAACCAAGTCCCATGCTCTCGACGGCATGAAGGCTCATACTCTCTGAAGTCCATACCGCAGTTTCCGTGAAAATTACCAAAAATACTGCACCGCCACCCTACAGCCCCACCCGTGCACTTTGGAGGAGAAAGTGGCATGCTATGCGGTTGCGGACCAACCCATTCGCCTCGCACATGGCAAGGACCGTTCTCGGAGGTGAGCTGTCGGTATTGGAGTTTCTCTTCAATGAATGGGACGAGATATCTCGTGATTTTTTGAGACGATTCAACATTCCCTACCTGATTTGGGGGCTGACTCCGTTCTTCTTCGTGGAAAACTACAGCCCATCTATCTAGCCGAACTTCATCAGCTTCTATGACATCCTGCAAGCAACACATTGGCTAATCGTTATTTTATTTTTAGCAAATACATTGCATAATGAAAATGCATAATGTGAAAAAGCAACAAAGTGGAAAAACCTTGAGAATATCAAGAGGATTCTCTTCGCCAGTGTACCCACCACCCCAGCGAAGTACCCGGGCCAGGTCATTGCCTGTCCCCAGCGGAACGATACCACATGGAGGAGAGAAACAGGCAGCATCCTGAAAAACAGTCATTTCTTCACTACGAAGAACATGCAGGACGTACTCGGTGTACCCTTTTGCTAAAGGTGTAAATGCAGTTTGCAAAAGGGCTACAGTCTTGTTCGCTGCGGATGATGGGGCGTGCCAGAGAGGCCGGACTTGGCCAGTCGCAAACCCGTTCCCCACCGATTGTTGAAAATAAGCGGCAACAACTGGTGGAAATCGACTGACTTGAATGATATGATACAGTCTTATCGCTTGCCTATCCTTGAAAAAAGAAAAGTAACGGGCTGGCGCGCCGAACCCATCTTCCTTGACAACCCCCGTCATCCACAGCGAACAAGACTGAACCTAACGGTACACTTTCAGATGCCCCTATCTCACTATTTTCCCTTCACGCAAATCAAAACAGAAAAGCTAACCTGTTTGGCGATATCCAAACACTGCAACACCCAGCCTATCGTACCATCACCACCGCAGGCAAGAATTTTGTATTTTGGAATGTTCCGAAATACGTAGAGCCTTGAATTAAGTTGATTCAGTAAATAGAAAATAAGAGTTGAGCATCCAACGTACCCAACAAGTGGTCCGCCTTTCAGCACATCGAAGACTTGGAAAGGGTTGAGGAGCTTCCGGAAGGATTGAATCAGTTCTGTTCCTTGACAACCACCACTTTTCACGTTGACAAGAACCAGTAACGGTTCGGCGTCAGGCGGTAGCATGTGGGGCTAAATCAATGGCAACTAAATAGAGGTTTAGCAAAAGCGACCAGTGAGAAAACAACGGTGTCGTGAGCTACGCGACATCGCGCGTCCGGCTTGCGACGGTTTCTCCTCGCCGCGCGGCATATGTACGCGCAGCGAGGCAAGCTGTCACAAACCACGCGCAGTGATGGCTCCTCCTGACCCGTACCCGCTAGATCATACAATTCAATCATGAAAAGGGGTTTTCTACTGTCAAGTAAGTACCTGCACATTAGGAAGACACAGAACAATAAGCTTTTTGTCCTCGTAGATGGCATTTTGAAGGCGTTGTACAGCAGCTGTTGCTGCTTTTGGTGTGTTGAAGGTAATCACAAGCGAACCGTATTCGAAATAGATCGGCCCAATCGCAGTGAATGGTTTCTCTGAACGAAAAAAATTATCTACTTATTTATTCGAGTGCCTATTTACGTATTTGTTTCATTACCTGTTCATTTACAACACGATGTAAGGCTAAAACAATATGAATTGGAAAAGAAGACTACTAATGCTACAACAGGCGCTATTCGCCTCGGAGGAACCATTCTCCAGCGAGGCCTAGCTACGTCATGTTTTGGAGCGACAGAGCGACTCCATGACTTTGCGAGAGGGTGCAGACGAACATAGCATGGCATGGGTTAGCCTCGCCACGATTGAAAATGGATAAAATGAATGTAAACTATGTGGAAATAAAGCAACCTATCTGTCCATCCTCACTTTTAAAGCGAAAGTCCTCTCAATCCCATGTGACTCGTAAGGCTGTCTCTGCCCTCGCCTTTTGCCCCGCCACAAAATGAATGACATATCAAGAAATAACGTAGTGGAGAAAGTACGCACATCAGAACATATCTCCCGCTTTAAGAGAGGAGGAGGAACAGATTTAACGTCGGCTCACTGGGAATAGTGGCCGCCTCCCGAGGCACACGCCATTCAGCACCTAAAGTCATTTCAAGTACATCTAATCTTAGTTATTAATAAACATGTGTTGTCAAACCGGATGCGCCACGACATGACTTCCACTGAGGAACGAAGAGGCATTTGAATGCGCGTTTAACCCACATAAAAGGCCAGCGCCCGAATTCTTATGTTAACGTTGGTTTTCTTTCGAAAAGCGCTGATGCCCATTCAACGATAGCCGAAGAAAGTTCTGGCTTGCCAGCTAGATGAGAACTCATATTCGGCTGTAGATGACCTCTTGTGGAATATTCTCGTATTCATGACTTACCGAGCGGTGTACATTACACAAACGGGCTACTATGAAATACCTGCAGTTATTATTCATTTTTTACCGAAGTTCACAAAAAGTTACCAAGCCGCTGAAAAACTTTCTCCTTCTGCTACTGAGCAGAAGAAATGCGCAGTCAGATGATGCATGTAATGAAATCAGAATTAGACTGAACTCAGTTTTCTATTTCTCTGGAAAATATAGGCTTCAGCCATTCTGAATAAAGGAAAAATCAGCAGAAAGAATCCAGTAATACTAACCCATACCTTTGGCTCCTAATAGCTTGAGTAATATACGTTTTTCCCCAATACTGCCGTTGTGCAACAAGTGATACTTGGGAGATTTTCCGGACGAACACAGCATGATAGTGGCCGGGTCTTCTTCTTTTATTGCCATAAAATCCGTACGACGGCTGTAGCGCACGTTACGAATCCGTGTAAAATGGAGATCACCGGTTACCGATTTGAAGGATCAATTTTATTGGGACATCAATTATACAGTACACCGTCTTTAAGGCCACAACTGTCTCCTACATCCACAGCATACCTAGTCGAGATTTGGTCGAAGTCTAAGGCGCGAGCGCGCCGCCGCCCCCGCCCCGCCCCCCTCCCTCCCTGAAGTGGCTTGATACGACCTCTCCCCTCGATCCCCTCCCCGCTCGTTTCGTCCTTCTGATTACAATTGAGCTGCAAGCGAAGGAGGAGTGGATGCGGGGAGGGGAGGCATACACTACAGTCACATGGAAAAAACTGGCGGAGGAATACATAACGACTTCCCCTTCACACAGCGGCCCCGTGAGCTCAGAAACATAGCTGCTAATAAAAGAAATTTTTTTAGACCAATACGCCCCTTCCCTGCCATCGACCAGGTACGCCCGCCTGTTGGAGAATCCCCAACGATCTGCTCACTCCCTCACCCTTCCGAGGCGGTCCTGGTATTACACGAGGCCTTAATCTGCAGTCGCCGCAGCCCACCCTGTTTCCGACCAAGTGTCGCGGAGGCGGGCGGTTGGAGGCACGAAACACCCCGACCACGTCTTCATACTCCAACCGCCTGTCATTCTATCATGCAATTTGCATCGCATGACAAAAATCGGCAGCGAAACAACGCACTCGTGGTTTAGACGGCAAGCCAGGTATTGAAGAGGGTGCGCAGTCAAGTAGAGCGTTTAAGTATGGTCAACGCGTGTGGCTGGCCGTGCAGCGTCGTGAAGCGGACTATGGGACAGACGGCCGAGTTGTCACTACCTTCAGCCTCGAACCCCTGGCAGTTTTTGAGCCGGAAGAGAAAGTGCAGCTCACGCTGCGGCGTGCGGTCCCTTCTACCTTGCAAACGGACAGGAACCGGGATCCACCGGGAGGTGAATATTCAGTGTTCGTCTATCAAGAATAAAGTCGTACAATCCGGTCAGTCGATTATCTGGCTGCAAGTGACGCGACGCGTTTTACCAGCGCGTCACGATCGCTGCGATCAGCTGTTTCCACCCTAATTTAGCAATTTTCTCCCTAGTTTTCACTGTTTTTGGCTGTTTTTTAAGGTCATTTGCTTTATTGCCTATATGAAGTATATCGAGACGTGAATTCTTTTTTTGTTCTTGTAATGGAGTGTTTTTCGCGATTTTCTTAGGTGTTTGTTTAATTGTTTGTTTAATCGTCTAATTGTTCGCAAAAGTTAGAAAAAACTCAATCATAATTTATCTTGTGAAGACAAGGAACAGTTAACCTTGAAAAAACAGCCAAAAACAGTGAAAAGTAGGGAAAAATGACTAAACCAGGCCGGAAACGGCTGATCGCCGCACACAGTTCCTACGTACGCGGTCGCTGCTGCAGCCGCGTCTGCGGCCCCTTGACGACCGCCCTAATCAACTGCCCGATGACGAGTGTACAACAGCGCTTTCTTATTCTTCCAACCGTAACCAGTTGCGAAATAGGTACTTCCGACAGAAAAGGAAGTTTTTGTGAATAGAAAAAAGAATACCTTGCGAAGATTCCGAACAAGCTGCAACATGTTCTCTTGAAAGTTGCATGTTCGTTCGGCGACTCCACGATCCAATGATACTTCAATGAGATTATACCTGAAAGTAGAATTTTAAGAAAAAAATCTCTTGAAATATATGGGAAATAAACTAAATTCTCTTGAATTACCTGTTCCAGGTAGTAGGATCGAGACCGAAATTTTGTAATGCATCTGCGAGAGCATCTTGGACCAACGTATCTTTATTTACAGTTAACGTACAAAACGTTACGGGAACTCTGAAAGCATCCAAGACTCTATTTTGTACGTCTGTTAATGGTAAAAGGACGTTGGTCAGGAGATCCACGCTGCGGCAGGAACCAGGTCACGCCCACGTGACGTGGCGACCTTCCTTGCGACTAGTGATCACATCGCGGACTTTCGCATTCCGCCATAACGTGGACCATCTCCAAAACCCACTTTTTTGGATTCAACTTACCTCAACCAACCACCGTAGAGCTTAACAACATCCTTGTCGGGATCATCTTTGTACCTAAGAAATATTTGTGCACGTCGTCCTTCGGGCCGTTTCACATTTCGCAAGGGCACAGGGTCCTCGAGCGTTTCCTCTTCACCGGCTGAATTAATTGACCATTAAGATTATATAGCTGGTATAATTCTTCAATTAAATACATTTGGAAAATTTCACGAGCTAAAAATGGTTGCGGTATATTTATAGGCAATTTACAGCAGGAATGCGGAAAATCAGAAAAAAGGAGATAATTAAATCCAAAGGAATTGCTTGGAAACTGGCGTGCAGATGCAGAGCATCAAGAAAAAAAATATGAAATTCCTGAAAAGACCGATCCTAAGTTGAGCCAGAGCTTTTATACTCTCGGACGATTCTGGTACGATTTAAGAGCTTGGAGGGTAGAAGGTTTCAGTAGCTCAAGTGGAAATCGA